TTAATTTCTCTCAGAAGCTTTTTACTTAGATATGTCAACATTTATTTTTTTTACAGTTCAACTACTCCGTGTCAAATTTTACTGCTCAGTTTTCAGTCAGGGACACAGTTAAACTGAGTACAGAATGAAGCTAATAACCTCATTTTATTGATAATCATACTTATTTTCCGACGGCTAATATGAATGTTAATACATTAAACAAAGTCCCTTCCCTTTGACTGATAAAAATATTCAAGAGTCTAGCATAATAGCTCTTTACACAAGGCGTTCGATCGTGTTCATAACCCGCCTACAACACATGAACATACACATTGTACATACTTGACATACAAACTGACCACGTTGTTGTCCTAATACCCTCGATGGACAGTAATATGCCAAATGGGCCGCTCTTAACCTCTTAATGTATTTGTGCGTATGGAGGATTTTAAATGATCTGTTGTTATAGCAACAGATAACTATGGCTATTTTGAATATTCGATACGCTCACCGGTGCACTAGGTTCAGTACCACAGACTGGAACAAAGAACCCTCAAATGGTACTAGCTTCTTTCTGCCTTTTGGGTGGTTACAATTTTACTCTTGTCTGGATAATGCCTTTTCGGGCATAACACTGTTTGTTTCAGTAAATTGCACTCAGTGAAATATTGATTTAACACCTGGGAGCATTTCTTCAACTGAAGATTGTAAATTGTTCTATTAAAGGGAAAATTCGGTGCGTGTAGAAAGACTCACATCATTGCTCAGCTTCAATGAAAGCCAATTTGTAGTTTTAGGAAGTTCAATACGTTCTTTTCTTAACAGAGGTAGTTAAATCGTGTAACTGCCATTCCGTTTTTGTGTTCCCACGGCTTCCATTTGAGGATTTTTATATTTCGTGTGTTTCGAAGTATAAGTATTTGATTGTTGTAGAAAAATTGTCACCGCATTGTCACAATTAATTATGATTTCATGAAGCTGTAAACATTCATCACATGACAAACACAAATTCATTAGGAAATAGCTCAGTGTGAGCAGCCTTCGACTGTCAAAAATCTTATTCGAAAAGAAAGTTAAAACGGCGACGCAAACCGGCATTAATTCCGGAAATATAATATTAAAAACTTACCTTTTCAATCGGAATGACAGTGAATGCGCCACCACCAGCAGACTCCGTAATAATTGCAAGATACTTCAAATTTACTGCGCATAACCAGGAGTCGTGTGTGCCTTTGGTGATCGCAACATTTTCATAGCATTCGTCGCGCTTAAGGGCCTTCCCAAATACGTGCTTAAATTTGCTCTGTCGAATTCCTGCCATTGCCCAATACTACGACGAGATTCCGTGCAGTTTATAAGGCGTGCAAATTTAATGCCACCAACACCAACGGCCTTTGTTTGTTTAGAAAAACAAACAAGCTTGTATTTATTTTTACCACATCTCTAAGATTGTAATTATGAGGCCCTCAGTGACAATATACTGCAAGAAGAACTTTCCTCATATTTTCAGCTTCTATCGGATTTAATGTTACTTCATTTCAGTTTATTTGTGAGAAATATACAGGGATGTACACCTTTAACTCTTCCTTACATCATC